ATGAACGATACTGACAAGTATTGTTGTATTTTTCACAAAGGTGTATTTTTTACATAAAAGCAGGTTTGCCTCTTTTTTAATGCACAAATTGAATTAGCAAGTTGTTTAGTTTGTAATTTCATCCTAATTACAAACAGTTTCCCAGTTTTTAGAGTGATAGAAAATATGATAACATATATGGATGTGGAGCGGTGGTGTGTGTATTGTCTATAACTGGAGCTGCCTAATTCTTGAGGAGAGGAGCTGTTGGAGTTCACACCTCAGGGCTGTGGTGTAACCTCAGCTCTCTTCTTCTTTTTCTATTTAAAACTCTGAACAGCCGCTTGGTGAGAACCACTTTACAACATGATTCATCAACAATACTTCACATGTGTCTTGATCTTAAACTTTGAGTATAATAGTAAAGTACAAGGATAATGTTACTGCAAAGGATGTTTCAGGTATACCTCATAGTTTGATGATCTTACTTATGATGATTCTGCAAGGAAAATGTCAATTTATGTATTTGGCACAAGTACTTAAAACAAAATAAACTTTTTTCCTTGTTTCCTGTCACCATTTACTTAACCAAAGTTGTATTTGGAGTGTTTCGTGCATGTTTGAGCAAAAAAAAGGGCTTATTTTCAATAATTTTGTATGATTTATTTTCATATTTCTGATTAATTCCAGTTTTCACTCCCACCAGTATACGCAGTGCTTTGTACTAACTTGGTTCTCTAGTTTTATTTTCATAATCAATGACCAAAAAATCTGTGCTGCGTTACTGTGACGTGCAGCTATCTGTTAGAGATACCGACTCTTTGTTGTGATGACATTTACTGAGACGTCTGCTCCCATTGGCCAGTGGACTTGTTTCTTTTCTTAAGTTGTTTTAGATAAAATGTGCAAGTTATAATATAATGATCCACAGGTGTCATGGACTATAGCTTTACAGAAGACACAAGCACAATAGGGCTTTTTGAGCACCAGATCAATACCAGGTCTATAAATGTACTATAGTAGTCTCCAACCCAGATATTACCCAGTAGATTGAAAAAAAGATAGAAAAAATATACTGTAATATATAGTGCTATCGGGCTAATTAACTTTAGCTGGTGATTCTTGGATCAATAATAAATGACCACAGAGCAAAACCCCTCCTCCTGTATGAAAAACCTGTTTGGACACTAGTACCTCTCAACACATAATGGTTTGTAAGTTTCAGGGCACATAACATATAAGACATAACATAGAACAATAATTTGCCACCATTACTGCTTTGAACTGCCCTCACCTTTCTGATGAGACCTCTGCTGGGGCCAAAAGTTCAGTCCGGCCCGGGGCTCCTGGCGGGCTTTTCTCCGACCCCAGGGCCATGGGTCAACTTCCTTCGTTTCACAAGTCAAGTCTCAATTCCCCGCTCTTAATTCTTAATGCTCGAACCAATAAATATTCATGGTTTTACTGACCAGTGTCTATGTAAGACCTTCTCTCCTCTTTGTCCAGTAATCTGAACTGCAAAATACAACCATTTCCCCATCCTATACCTCAGCCTTTTGAATGTTTTATGTTTTGGAGATACTCGAGGTTTCAGGAGTTGGCCATTTAGCAATAAATTAGCCTCCATGTTCAACTGATGATGTCTAAATGATCTTTTCCATCTGTTTTGAATCAAATCTTTTTGGGTGGAGGGCATGAGTTTTCTCTGGGTGCTCCACTTCCCCCATCATCAACTTAAAACTGGCAAAATATACTCAGACCCTCCCATACTTCTCACCAAGAGTTGTTGTATTGTATTGGAGGCATCCTTCTCATGCGAGGGCGAAGTACAGCTAAACAAAAACTCTATTGCTAGAAAATTGACATTGCTGTTTTTAGAGTCAGCCAAAGCAGTTTAATGGTATAATGTTGTGTGTGTGTGGAGACTTGATCTATTTATTGATCTATTGGTTCTATTTTTATTGACTTTATTTACTTGTTTTGATTGTGGCACACACTAATAATACAGAGATCACTTACACATTTCCATAATATTTATTTCATCTTATCTGTATTTACGAAAAAACAAAACAAATCTTACTTGAGTAAAGTCCAGTGTAGACAATGGATGTTTAAAAAGATTTTCAATAAATATATTTAAAATTGTTTGCCATAGTACATAAAAGAGGGCTATTTAACTTCTGTGCAAACCAGAAGTGGGAACTTGCGAGTCGTGACCTGGACTCGAGTCACTACTTTTAGGACTTGAGACTTGACTTGATAAAATGGACTAAGACTTGGGACTCAACTTGGACTTGAAGGTCAGTGATTTGGGGCTTGACTCGGGCTGGAGGCTTGTGACTTGAGAAGCACTTTTAGATCTGAATTCTTTCTATTCTGACTGTAATGAATTACACTAAGATCTTGTTGATTTAAAAAGGAAAAATTAACTAAATTAATTTCTACAACTCTTGTATACTCTATAACTACTCATATATAAATATACCAAGACTTTTTAAGAACAATTTAGTTTAAGAGTCATATAAATTGCAAAAAATTAAAGCTATATTTTGTACTTTGGTTTAAAGACTTGAAATGACTTAAAGCTCAAAGCAGACGACTTGGACTTGACTTAGACTTATGAACCAGTGACTCAAGACTTAATTTGGACTTCCCTGTATTTGACTTGGGACTTGACTCGGACGTGAGGTCAAATATTTGAGACTTACTTGAGACTTGCAAAACAACGACTTGGTCCCACCTCTGATGCAAACACAACATGTTTAGATCACCGTGTTATTAACATGTTTTACAAGTTTCACTTTTATTTTTAATGTTCTGAGTCTCCTCTCCTTTTGCTCTTCATGCTAAGTCACTTCCCCTTCAAACCACTATCACAACACAATCAGCGTGCATCCTGCTAATGAATCTACTGCACAAAGCATCAGGTTTGTCAAGGTCTTATATACAGTTTTGTATTGTGGCATATTTTTGATGGAACAACATTATAACATGATAGAAAAAAAAAAAAAAAATGCATAATACCCCCTCTTTAAAACAAGACAACAAGCAAATTATTCAGCACATCATAAAAGCTGGTTGGGGAAAGCTTCTGCAGCAGGGGAAGTCCCCGCAGCTCTTGGGGCAGTACAGAAGAAAAGCAGTAGTTGTTTTGTTGTCCCATATGAGTACAAATGTCTTTTATTAGTACTTTTTTTTTTTCTTGGACATGACCTTTATGAGTGGAAATGATAAACCTTATCTATAAAATCCCACACAGACTGTACCATTCAGCTGGCACACTTCTGGATAAAGATGGATCTCTTAGCTTTCATCTCCCTCTCTCTATATATACACACCTTATTTCCTCTGTATCTGTGGTTATCTTCCATACTTCTTTCCTTCTTAACTTTCTACCACTGACCTGCTGAAGCTGAGGTGTTGGCTTTATCTAGAGACTGTTAATCCGGTAAACCTCAGTCAATATTGTTCCATCTCTCAGTCCGATAAAAGTTTGTGATATTTTTATCCACATGTGTAAAAAGGACCTTGTTGTGCTGTTATTGATTTGTCTTCTTAACACACTTTTGTCGATAGGTTTGTTCAGCTTTAAAGGGTGTTTCATTTGCAATATAACTGTTAATACAATGATTGAATTGTGTAAGAACGCGGGCTATAGGATACAATGGATTAGTCAATGGACAGGCCATGCAGAAAAAATACGCTGGTATGTTATTGTCATCTTTATTATTGACGTTTTCTGCTTTTACACAGTGGTGGAAGAAGTACTCAGTTTTGTTAAGTAAAAACACCAGAGCAAAAATACTCCAGTAAAAGTGGTAAGTATTTTGCGCAGAGTTTGAGATGTAATAAAACTTTTTTTTAAAACAGATTTTTGCTAAATTTTGTTCAGCATTTCCAAATGAATACATTTTTTATTTGTTTGCTCAAACTACAAACATTTTACAAATAAACCATCAGCCTTTTCAGCAGGTCTCAAACTATAATAAAAACTACTTTTACTTTTCAGTTCTGTTCACAATTGTCGTGCAGTAGGAAGTACAAATATCTGCTCTCAAATGTAGTGAAGTAAAAGTAGAAAGTGTCCACTTAAAATATGCTGAAATAAAGAACAGATACCTAACGCTTTATACAGTACATGGCTATGTTTTACTTCATTATGATGCACAACTGCTTTCACATACATAACATTTTTTATTTATTAGGCGCCCTTCTAGACACTCAAGGTCTCCTCACAACAATAAACAAATACAAAGCATTGTGCTTATTTGTTCAAAGTTGTATAACTAAAATTTAGAAGCATGAAAATATCTCAGAAAGCAGCTAAACATTGCCTGGTGTTTTACAAATCAGGTATATTGTCCTGCTTTTTTTCTAGTCTGTAAGTTATATTTTTTTATTTTTTGCAAAAGTACCATTTCCTTCTTTCTGGAAGATAATAATTTTGCTACATCTCTAGAATAAATGTAGTTATCAAACCAGTTTGTTTTGATTTTATATGGGATTCTAATTCAAATCTGCTTATAAAATTTAATTAAGTAATTTTCTAATCCTTACTGTGTTCAGGCATTTTGTGATTGACTGAAGTAATATTTTCCGCAATATTTACGTCTTCAAAAACCCTGCAGGCTTCAAGTTTGTCTTCACTCTGCTCCAGTATTCACATTTCTCTTCCAATTTTGCTCTGTTCCCTCAAAGTAAACAGCATTAGCCTGTGTGACTGTGTATCGAGGCAAATAGTCCCTAGTTGACTTTATAGCTGTATAAATCCTAAAGTGAGTTTGATTATTGCAGTTTGGAAGCCCGCGGTCCTCGGCTCCCACTAAGTGTACATTTATAGTGATCTACAGCACACTTAAATCACTGCATTTATCCTTGTGTGTTTGTGCATGTGTTGCCTGTACTTCCTCATACGTCCAGCAGGGGGTATCGACTGCTAGCTTTGCCTGCTCCCCTCTGCTCTGCTCTGCTCTGCTCTGCTCCGTCTGCGCGCTGTGTTGCCTCCGCTCTGTTCTCCCATGCAGGTTGTGAAAACGTTGCTACCCGCTGGTCTGTGTCTGGATCGCTTCAGGACCCTCCTACCTCCTGGCGGGGGATAAGGAAGGAGGAGACAGCCACGCCGTTCCTCTCGCCCTGTGCTGCTGTCGGACGAGCCCCCATAATACCGCTCTGTCAGTGTGGAGGGAGCCCAGCGCGGAGAAGAAGAGGGAAGTCTGTGACAGAGGGGGAGAGAGAGAGAAGAGACAGGAGGCAGGCTGCTTATAGTAACTCACACTAACACAAGGAGCACATTCTTTACAACCGGAGGACTTCTTCTGGGGCTCTCACTGCGCTTTTCCGCCAATCTTTTAGCCTGCCTTTGGGATTTTAACCTCATTTTCTACCAAACTGGGATATTCTCCTCTGTGTAAAGTGCATCCGTGTGTGAGCTTCAAACAGGACAGCCCAGTCGATTCCCAGTCCAGCGCAGCAGCAGCAGCAGCAGCAGCAGCAGCAGCAGAAGCAGAAGCAGAGAGAGAGATTTCAGAGCGTGGCACATTACAGATCGGAGACGCTTCTACAAAACAAGTCAACCCTTTTTGCGTACTCTCCCTTACCATCCCTTTTCTTCCTCCTACTCCTCCTCCTCTTCTCCCTTCAACAGTACTGCCACCACAGCCACCTGCTCCTCGCCTGCTCCTATCCTGCCTGGCTGTACCTTTTTAACCTACCCTAGCTTTCCGATCACTCTCTCCGGACACTGAGCGACCACCTTGCGCACTTGTGGACTAATTGAACTCCGGATCTTGCTCACACCTCACGATAGAGAGAAGCCGGCGGAGTGACACATCGCGGTGCAGCAGCAGCAGCACTAGAAGAGGAGATCAAGAAGAAGAAGAAGAAGAAAAAAAGAGGGGGATATTAGGAAAGACAAGCTGATCTCATCTTGGCATATCGCTCGCTCCGGAGTCACCATTCCCTGCCTCACTGCTAAGGATTCCAGCTACATGGGCAAGCGCTTGGAACAGCAGCCAATGTACCCTCAGTACACCTACTACTACCCCCATTATCTCCAGACCAAGGTACGACGCTATGCTCTATTAATGCAGCCACTCCACAGCACTCTGCCCCCTCCCGCTGTCCTCTCATCCTTTAGTGGACATGCGGTTTGATGGATAGGCAGCCTTGGCGGTTGATGGCTGTAGCTGGGATGTCTGTTTCAACTGCTATAAATGTGTGTGTTTGTGTGTTGTGTGTGTGTGTGTGTGTGTAGTGGTGGGGGAAAGATTAGAGATCAAGGCTCGAGTTCACTGTTGATTCAGCCTATTGGAGCATTACTGGGAGATGTCCAGTTACCCCCATCCATCACTAGCCAACATTAATGAGATTCTTACATGGCAAGAATGGGCAGAGGCTTGGAGGAGCTCAAATGAAGTTCACAGTTCAGAATTGAGGCTGTTTTGTAATAGCGTGCTGAGTGGGTAAAGATTGGAGGTGTAAAAGGAGAACTGTTGGTGTGTGGGAATACCATGAATCAGGGGCTTGACAGCAGATCTTGTGCAGAGAGAGGCTTGGCGGCGAGAAACCTGCCATTCAAAAAATGTCAGAAAATACTGAGTCAGGGTTTTTGTGGTTAGCGGGAGTTAAGATTCTGGGCTCTGTTTCAATACTTTGACGTTCATATTTTTCTCCCAATGTTTCTAAGATTTTCCATTTCAAAGTGAGATGACAGAACAGTGTTAGTGACGTGTTGGGAGATTGACATGTTGGAGGCTGCGTCAAGGTTTTCAATGCATTCAGTCGATGTATTGATTAAATAGCCTAATTGTGGGCCAGCTACAAAACCAGCATCATGGTTTTAAATATAATAGTAGGAGTGTGGATTGCCTTAACTCTGAAGATACGATACATATCATGATTCGCGTGTCACGATTCAATATATCCCGATATATCCTGATACTAAAACAATGGATGATATATTGCAATTTATTAATAATTACTAATAATACAGTCAACTATACCTTCAAGAGAACACAACTGTATGAAATATAATCTATAAGCTTTTTAAAATCATGAAAACAGTGATGTTACTAATGAATTTTTGTGAAAAAATATTATTTAAAAAATATTCAGAGCCATTTTGAATCGAATCAAATATTAAAACATAGAGCAACTAACATGTAGATGTAGATTTTTTGCTGCAATCCACTGTTAAGGAGTTTCATGTTGTTTATTTGTCATTTAAAACTGGGAAATCCGACTTTTCTCTTGTAACTGTGATTTTTTAGCCCAAAGAGATGAGGACTTAAATACAAAATGCCACCACTGCATTCGGTCTGTGTAAAAAAACAAACCAAAAAAGCACAATAACGCACAATAAAATCATTGTTATTTAATGTCAAGTGTACCCCCGACCTCCTCTACTCTTTTTTTGAGAGAACTATGTGTGTTGCTATGTAACACTTCAGGATGAGAGTGGATTGACAGCGGTCTGGCAGTGCGGTGCTGGTCCACTCTTCTTTCACTTCGCTGTCTGAAAAAGCTGTTCTAAAGCTGTGCACATTCCTGATCATTTATGCATGTGAATACCAGTGTGTGCAAGGGTTTGTGGGAGTTACAAATTAGCCAAATGGATGGAAATGAAATACTTCATTGTTTGAAAATCAGGCACCCCAGTATTTTAAGTTAGAAGAGCATTTCACCATTTACTCTCTTGTTAAAAGTCTACAAATCTATGGTTTATGACACTTTTTTCATATCATTTCTTCATTTTGCACAACGATTACAATTTTTTTCCTACTCATCCACTATAGAAATGTATACCACCTCACTTTAATTAAACACAGCAGTAATTTATCTAACCCGACCAAAGCGTTGTTGCCGTGGTTCTCTGTGAGTGAGCGAGCGCGCGGGCAGCCCCTGTCCTCTGCATCACTGCCTCTGGAGCAGAGCCTGGGCCTGCCTCTGCCAGCTCCCTCACTGGGCACACGACCCAGACACCATCACGGGATCACCATCAAAGCCCGGGGACTTCTCTCTTTGCTTTTCAACCTCATTCTTAGCACTTACTCCTGACCGCATTGACCGGTGTGCCCAGAGTTAAATTAGAGTATAGTTTTCAGATGACTCATAGGTCTTTGGTTTGTTATTACCTAATTAAAAATACAGTTCGGCAAATTGAATTATTTTTTTAAAGGTGCATTGCATTTTCTAGTAGAGAATCCATCATCTGATGTCTCCATGGAAATGTTGTTACTTTGTCTACAATGTTCCACAGTGTAGATTAAAATTAGATACCCAGATTACAGCACTACGCTACATTACATTTCAGATCTGTGGAGAGTCACCCCTGTTCAAAGAAAACATGATTGTATTTTTGAGCAATAGAAACATCTGGAATAGATGGAAATGTTTAAAGTCATACCATGGAACAGTGTTTCCAAAATGTATTTACTGGGGACCCATATTTTAAAAGTCACAAACCTTCGCGACCCAAGTCAGTAGTTCATAAATCACGAAAAAAAGGTGGATCTGACCATTACTGAGGATATTTTATTGTTGACTGAGTGATCGTGTCTCTCTGAACAATTAGTATTATTCAAGTTTTAAACAATGGATTGATCCATCAATAAAAGGTATGCATAAGTTGCTTATTTGGACATTAAATGTAGCCCATTTCTTTTTTTTCAACATTCAATTGAACCAGCAATATTGGAACAAAACAGTAAATAAAATAATTTCAAAAAGATTAGTAATTATACAAAACATATCTTAACATTTAAACACATGTCAGAAGTGTATATTGCAGACCTACATACAGATCGTGACAAGGTGACCCAAAAAAAACTCTTGCGACCCAGTCTTTGGGAAACAATGCCAAATCAATCTGCAATAAAATCTCCATGGAGACAAGCGATTTAATCAGTGATTAAAAAGGATGGTTTTAAATTGTTTCTATATAATGCTTTTGAGAGTTTTATATAGCTTCGCATGGACATTGAAGTTAACACAATTAACATGGGTCTTTTGACTTTTATATAAAAAAAAAAAAAACAGTATACAGATCAGAAATTAGTCCAACAATTGGGAGAAAGTTTTCCTTGTATGAATCAAAGTAGGACTGTTTTAATATCTTGTAGGTTCCTCACTAATCAGCCAGTGTTACCCTATGATTTTTTCAATTTTGAAATTTAGCAAACGAAAACAGAAAAGACAAAACTAAAACAAAACCCTCCCACACCCCAAACCCTCTCTCCACACTCAACACATACACAAGACTACACAAAACACACTGGCTACACAAACATCAAATGTCAGTCAAGTTCAGTCCTGCCAAAAATTTCGAGAACGGTGTCCCTATCTATATACATATCGAAGTCCAGCTGTATTTTCTCCAAACTGCAGTAGAATGTTAGTTCATTAATTATATATTTTTTGTGTATTTGTATTTTGTAGCTGCTTAAAATTGGTGTAATGGAATCAAGAAAAGAGGTAGATAATGTTAAGCAAATTCCTCGAGTCTGATCATGTAGTTTGTGTCACCAAGGAATCCTGCTTTGGTTCGACATTTTGAGCTTGGACTTGATTATTTTTCTTTTTACAAATAAAACAGACAAAAATCTGATAATTTCAAAATGTGTTTTTTCAGCCCGGCGTATCAGTTTTCTCCTGGGCGTTTTTGAAGATCTGGTTTTGCGTGTCGAGTCTGCCTGTGAACCAGAGCGCCCCCAGCTGTGAGAGACCTCCACCTGGCAGTCCGCGCGCTCGCTTCTCCTGATTTATAGTTTAATACATTTGCACTGCCGCCATATGGCTTCCCTGTCCCCCGCCACCTCCTCCCTCTCTTCTCCCTCCATCACTGACCCCCCCTTTCTCCTCCTCCACGCTCATATCTTTGCTCATCTTGGGGTCCCTCTCATCAGGATGTACCCCCTCCTCTCACCCTCCTCCTCCCTCTCTGCACACCTCCTTTACACCCTCCTTTACAGTATTCTTGCTTTCTTCTTCTTTCCCCGTGTTACAGCGGTCCGTTCCCAAGGTCAATGCAGATCCAATCTTGCCACTGTCAGCGATTGATGTATCCTTGAGAAAGCCGATTGGGTCTTGTGTCGTGCTACTGTGGGGCGTGGGAGGCTCGGGTGTGCATTTAACTAGCATTCATATTCATAGAGCGAGTTAACATACATCCTATAGCCTGACGCAGGGACAATAAAGACATAAGAGCCAAGAGGTCAGAGTGCTGGGCCATGTAGCCTTGCGCTGGAAATCACAGGGTCCATACATGGCTCACTGTACGATATCATCACGGTAATAATTTTAACCATCAAAACATGTAAGTTTCCTTTCATTAAATAAGAAGCAAATTTGTAGTGCAGTCACAAAACAAAAATTGGTAAAAGCTACCAAAAAACACTCAGTACATTGATACAGCCGCCCATGATAACGATACTACATCACCAAATTTAGTATCACAATGTTTTGATATTTTGCACACACCTAACAAGGCCATCATTGGATACACATATCATTTTTGAAGTATATTAAGTATATACGAGTATTTTTTTGGAAATAGATAGGTCACAATTAGAAATTTGCACAGTAAAGGTGGGGAGGTATTTAACTTGAGGGTGTGATTTAAAAAGATTTTCCACTTGACCAACTATTTCCCTGGTGTAAAGACGGTGAAGAGCATAGAGGTCAAAGTGCTGGACCATCACTGGATACACATATAATTTTATGGAGTATATTCATAGTAATAGTAAAGTATATTGTATTTTTGGAAATAGAAAGGTCAGATAACAAAGGCTAGGTGGAGAGTCAATAAAGTTGAGAGTTATGTTTGAAAAGGTTCACCATATGATCAAATATTTCTCCGCCCATGCCATTCATTACAGTTTCTGGCGCATTTCCAACATAAAATTTTTTTGTTTTATCCACTGAGAGATGCCAATGTGTTTCTGATGCCTCCATTTTATGATACATTCTTCAGCATATACAAGATTTATTGAACATCTGTGATCATTTACTACAAGTGGTTTCAATGTAAAGAATATGTCATGTTAATGGTAGGACTGCATGATCC